TATTTTGTGAAACATGATCTATTCTAAATCAGGATGCCACATATGTGATTTTCTAGAGCGAATTCCAGCGTATTGAATTGTATGTAAGAAACGAGGCCATATTGCAGTTTTCATGTGATAATGATGAGGGAATGTTATAAGATACTTTAAGACAAATTTATGTATTCTTATTTAAATGGATTCGATACAGTTATAGGTGCTCTTCAATTTTCTATAGTCAACAATTTTCATCGCTACTTTCTTCATTTCTGAAAATATTCCCTTTTTTAAGATTTAATTTCAGTCTTGACTCCCATAATATTGCCTAAGTATTCTAACCAATATATCGATATTCAGCAGATGAAAAATATCATAAGACTTGACTCCTTATATAGTATTTTGGTTTAGGATAGACAAGTAAATTCGATGAGGTTCATTTTATCTTCGTACGGGTCGTGACATACAAAACTGAGAGATCAGCACGATGGTTGTCGTTTAACTTTCTTTCACATGCACTGAAATATATTGCGATTGATATCTTTTATCATCGATGTGCATTAAAATAGGTGAAAATTTCATAAATCGAAATATATATCTATTAACTCCTCCAATTACCATTTCTTTACAAGAAACAAATGACAATTTTACGACTCTTCATACATCCTTTAGAATCCAAAATCTCAAATAAATCGTCATTAGGGTTTATTAACATTCAATGATGATACACATTTAATGTCACGTTTAACACACACACGATATTCTATTTGACTATAATTTCGACTTAAATTGGTCATTAATAGTTAATCCATTATGTGATCTTATATTATCGAATTTATTCGTAACTGTATTATAATGATAATTATATTTATCATAGATGTTTCTTTTCTATTTGATCTAGTAATGTATAGAACAACAAATTCAATTCTCAATATCAAAAATAATAAAATTGCAATATTATGTTAAATGCAAAAGAAACATGCTTGCAATAACAAAGAACTTCAAACTTCAAATATTCATATACATTTAATAAAATGAGATATCTTGTTTAAATAAAATAAACTAAACAATAAATACACAATAACAAAAAAAAACATTTGATAGGTCCTGATAAAAATGTTGGCAAGATGAAAAATTTTATTTTTATTACCATTGAAGAGATTTTTTTAATAGTATTTTGCAATTTTCAGTTTTTTTAATTGAAGATTAGTTGTAACATGGTATCAAAAGTCGATCGATTTTTTAATCCAAAAGATGGTACTTATGCAAATGTACCAATTATACCAGTACATCCCGAAAAATTTCGTGGAAAACGATTCTTTGGTACTAAAGTTCTTATTGGAAATTGGTATGAAGATCAAACAAAAGTAAGCTTTATTTTGTAAATAAATAATTCACTGTTATCAATCAGGAAGTCTTCTATTTCTATAGATTTCCAATCGCTATCATAGAAGTTTATGAAAGAAATAACTAAATAATTACATACACTAAAACATAACTCAGAGCATTCTTCATTAAATGATAGTTCTCAGCATCAACTATGCATAAAAATAAGTCTTTGTATGAAGATTAATAAATTATGCATTAGCCTAGTCTGAAATTCATGAAGCCTACGTTAATTCTAGTAGTAATTCATCACAACTGATATTGAACAACGTTTTGACTACATATTTTTCGGTGTTTTAAGACTACACTATTTTCACACTGTCAGAAGAGGCAGCTTGGATTTTCAGAGATGAATCTCAAGCCATTATCATACGGTGACAAAACGTAAGATTAATATTTGGAGGACAAGAACTTTATTAGTTGAAGACTTTCATGTTCATATTTCTGAGTCGTTAAAGCCAAAGAAACCAATGAAAACAAGCAAAATAGACTAGCATCAGTGTCTTAAAAATTGATGAAAATCAGTTGGCCTCGTTTCAACTCTGCTTCAAAGCATCTTGAATTAAAAGTTTCGAAAAAATAAAAAACTATGAACTATCATTGACATTGATCTTCTATTTTTGCTAAAATGAGATTTTATTTTGTATTAAGTTTTTTTATCATTGATTAAGAATTTATCGAGCCATTACTTAGCGTTTACACTCAAAACGAAACTGAAATTCTTGCTTGTATTTTTTTTCCATTTTGATTATTTAGTTTAAAGAATCATGTCATAAATCCAGATCATTCTATCATATTGATTATCCAGCACATGTTAGTTCTGTACCAGATACTGTTTTAAGACGTAAATTACTTGGATCACAAGAAGATCGACCTGCAAGAATGATTCTGGATCATCATGACATTGATGATCAAAAACAACTTATTAGCAGGTAGAACAAAATTAAAAATTAAGTTCTTCATTTTTTTTTCTAACTTCAATATGTATTTGACATAAAGTTATGATGAACAATACAATAGACGAGGAGCTTATGGAGAACATCGAGTATGAAAAATATTATCATTGATATTGTATTTGATAATTAAATGTCTTCAAGGAAACATCAGAAAGAAGATGGGCATTACAAGATGATCTGTGGTTACCTGAACGTAGTGATCATCCTCTTGAAAGTACACCAACAAGTTGGGGTCTGGTAGAAAGAAAACGTTCACAAAGTCAAAATCTTCGACGTCAACGTACAATTCCTGAAATAAGGTAACAATAAAAGTAGTTTGAGTTTTTAAAAAGGTAAGTTTTTAGATACTAAAATCTGCTGGATATGTCGAAAACGTTTTCAAAAAATTCATGACATTCTATTGCATCTTGTGAAACTTTTCTTCGTACTCAAAGATTATGTCAAGGCTATCCTCTAGAACTTCTTAGCTATTTCAAGTCTACTATTAGCGTATTAGTTTGAGTACGCTGAAGTACGGTGCTTTCTCTTTTTCTCTCTTCTTATTAAACCGTCAAGTGATACCAAAATTTGAAATTTTAGCTTTATCCTAACGTTTTGGAAATCAAATGTTGATGCCTTGCCGTATTACTGGAGAGTATGTTGACAAACTCATTCGGTTCCAGCAACGATTGCTTGAATAGAAGGTTAATTTAGTGTTGTATGACTTATATTGACTGACAGAAAGACTTGTTTAGATTCAAAGTAATTGTACAGTAAGTTTTGTGTTTGTCCTATTGCAAAAATTGATTGTCGAATGTAAAATGTCCTTGTCTGTTATGATAAATATCACTTATTTCCTAAATTTTTGTTGTCTATGAATAATCGTATATTGTTTTTGTTTTTGTGATCACATTTTTGTCAATTATGTCAAGGAGAACTGATATGATCTCAAACATAATGTTAGTTTAAGTATTTCTTTTATGAAAAATATCTATGATGGTTCTCATTTACTGCGATGTGCTGATTCTTGCAAGAATTAATTATTATTTTAAGTTTACAGAGCTAAATCAAAAAAAAAGAAAAATTGAATTCCAAATCAACACAAAACAAAAATGTATTCTGTTGTCGACTCTGATAAAATGATCTTTTAATCTAGGAAAGAGAGCGAGATTAATTATCTAAATATTTTTATTTCATATTTAGTGAATACACTGATCGATATGTTCCTCATCCACGGGAACTATATTCTTCATTAAAAAATTTTGCTGTACCACACATTTATACAAGAGCCATTGATCGTACAAATTCACTAAATAAAGATACAAATTATCGTTCAATGTCACATTGTAGTCGTCGCATACCAATAACTTCTGATGCCATGGAAACCGATTATATATATTCACCTCGACGGCATACAAATATATCACGAGCATATTTCTATTTAGGAAAAATACCAAATCAAATGAATCATACAATGCGAAACAAACTTCCATTATTAACAGAATCTACTGACCCCGTTCTACCAATAGCATCATCAATGGAACAAATTCAAAGTCAAGAACAAACTATTTGAGTAAAAAATGAATAATAATAAAATTTTATATTTATTTTAACCTTACACATATATATTTTTTTGATTAAATATAGAGCCATTATTTATATAATTTTCTATTTTAATATAACATTGACTTACGTTTCAGTAGTCACATCAGAAATAAATTTTATTCAAAAAATTACTAGTAACTGAAGTGTTCATTATGAAAGAATTGAAATAGAATCAAATTTCTATAGTGAGAATCATTTGTTAACAATGTAACACAAAAAAGAACCTCGATCTTCACATCATGGGTGTGAGTATTAGGATGGTAGACAAAAATACTCACTCACACTCACACCACCGATACCCTACACATGATGCACACGTTACTGTCAGCAGCTAATCACCAGTTCATCACATTGTTGTGGTTACTCACGAAATCCCCAGTGTTAGCAATGTACATTTTATGTGATTGTTTTCACTTTCATTTTTCTGTTGACTATGATAAAATATCAATTAAAACTTGATCTTTTGGAATGTCACAAAGCTGCCAACTTGAAGTAATAAAATTATTATGCCCACTATATATTCGATATCAATCAAAAGGAAATGAATATCTAGAATAACACGTATATTCATTATGAAGAGAAGTTCCTAAGTATGATTTGCCAATCGAACTAGTATTCTTCTTATAAACGGACACCGATGAAAGTAATACATACCTATAAATGCTTGTTCCCTTGTGCTATATTTCTAAAGTTATAATCATTTTATTGAATTTCTCACTTGGTAAAGCCATGTATTCATTAAAAAAATCGATTATCCTACCAGACATTAATAATGATAATGACTTAAGAGTGACAATACATGCAGACAAACTCTCATACCCTTTTATCTATTTTCGAACTGATTTTTTAAATCAAGATGTTTGACACTAATTTTCATGTTTTTTCATTACATTTTTCATTATTCAAGACAATATCTTTATCAAAAACCAAGAAATAAATATCAAATAGATTTATTCTAGCTATGCTTTAGTTTTTATTTATATTAAAATGGCCTTCTAAAGAACCACAATCAAAAACACATTTTATGTTACGTTAAAAATACAAACATTAGAAAAATTATTTTTTGTTTTGATTAGATCAAGTATGTATCAACAATAATTAATGTTTTTGAATTTTCTGCAATGGTGAACTACAATCGAAAAAAATTCGATATGATATTCAATGATGTAAACAAAAAAGTATCAAAACTCACCCAGTTCGTTCACCAGCTTTTTTTACATATAAACGTTTCACATTTGTTAATGATTCATCAAGAAACTCATCTGTTGAACTGTCATCTGTTGAATGATCATTTTCCGGTGACGAAAGAGTCTCTACCTCTTTAGAAGAAGTCGATTCTTTAAATAAAGTTCATATTATATATACTGTAATTTAAACAACAATACTTGCCATCAATCAGTTGATTAGATACAGCAATTGATTTTGGATATGGAACACGAACATTGTTTGAGTAATCACATAGTTGTAACTGTACACGAAGACTATTCATACTTGTATTATAGACTGTTGCCATAGGAACTGCTATATAATTAGATAAAATTAAAGAACAGATGAACATAAATGTTTAAATAAAAGATTACCTACTTGCAATATTAGCAGAGGAAACTGGTACAGTCGGATTTAATGTAGAATCAGTTTTCCATTCTTCAACGGTACATTTAGTAATTTTCAACATTAAACTACAAAAAATAAGACCTATAGATATTATGTACAAAGCTAATGAGACTACAATAAAAACTAGTAGATTGTTTTATTTTGATACGCTTTTCTTTTGTTCTTGAAAATCTATTTATTTATTTGATGCAAAAAATTTTGTTGTGATTATCTAAATATGAAAATACATTAGAAATACACACTTACGTCGAATTATATTCATTTACAGGAATAAATAATGAATCAACCGGTCCTTGACCATCCATTAACTTATAATTTGGATGAATATTTGACTTTTTTTCATTGCCAGTAAGTATTTTAATTATGAAATATTTATTTTTCAATCCTGTACACTTATACATTTCTTGAATCTTTTCAAAACAAATATATTCTTGATAAAACAAAAAATATACAAGAATAACTTACACTATATGATACTTGAAGATCATATTCATTAGTATTTTGACGCGATGAAGCTGGTAAAAGTGTCGATTGTTTAATTTGTATTTCATTTGGACTGTAGTCGTATTGGTCCGGTCGATGTGAACCGTTCACTTAATTGAAAAGAATATGTCATATAAAATAGCATGTATATGACAATGATTTATTGTTTTACGCGGTGTAAATGCATTCGAACAGAACAAGATTTCTTGTTCCGGTACATATTGTTTTTCATCAGGATCCCAGTTAATTCGACGAAAAACAAGATATGCAGTATATATTTTAAGATGTTTGGCCAATTTCGTAGGTGTTACATGCTTAGCATTTCTATTCATACTATTTCTCTGTTGATTTATCCCCCATGATGACAATTGTTCATGATCAACTTTCACAATAGTACCTACAAATGTAATAGATAATTACATGTGTTGCATACTGATTCTGAAATTTCAAAATGTTTATTATACCGCAAGGAAATCGTTTTATTTGACATATTTTATTTTTTTCTCTACTATCACATTCGAACATGATATTTTTTAATTTGCAAATAACCATTTTCAAACTGAAATAAAAGGATATACGCTCTTAGATTCTTAGATGTAAATTTTCTTACAAAAAAAGATCGTTTTCATTAATCGCATCTTTTGCCATATCAAAAATAGCAGAATTTTTTATTTCAAGACCTGTATCATTTTCACGAACGAATGCATAAGGAGCAATATAGAAATTTCCATGAGGACCTTTGAATACTATTGTACATTCAAGTTGAGCTTTGATTAATTCTGGAGCCAACTACAAAACAATCGGACATCAATCATTATCACGATATCAACTTACTCGTAAACATAATAGAGGATTGTCTAAACAGTCCTTGAGTTTCGGAATGCCTGCTTTGATTTGCTCACGAAGGAAATCATTTTCACTGTAAATACGAAATACATTCTGGACTGGATGTACCAAGTATATTAACGATGGAATAGCTAGTGTAGTCACTAAAATGGATCATAAATTTGTAAATGAGTTTATGTATTAAATGAAAAAATGACTTTTAATAAGTGATAGAGAATTTTGTGAGCTTATATGGAAGTAAATGTACGAAGTAGAATGAGGTGAGGTGAATATTCTAATCCTAACTATTACTCTAATGTCATATTTATATTTCAATTTATGCTTTAAAATTTATTAATTGACATATCGAAAAATTTGGCCTTGGTTTCAGTTTTGATTTTATACGAATAAATTTTGAAAAAAAAAGTTGTCTTAAATGACTCCTATTCTTCATAGAAAACTAATAAAGTCTTGTAATATTTTAACACTCTTATCAACATTTCATATTGAATGATACAATTTTAATAAATTATCAATAACTTACCATCATCAAACTATAGAGCCATTTTTTTTTAGTTTAAAATGCTCGTCTGTAAAAGAGACGTAACATGTATAAAATTATGATGTGAAGCCCCCTGCTTATATATATATGATCGAATGTTTTTGTTCTGAGCCGAAAAAAAATAAAAATTTTGTTGACAAATTTCGTTCGCTTTTAAAGGTAAATTCTGTGACTGGAAAAAGTATAATTTCAGAATGAAATCGTTTCTTATCGTGTTCTTTTTTTAATTTTTGTTTTGTTTTGTTATCTTGTAATTATATCAACAATAGAACGTTTTTAATCTAATGTGAAGAACAAAAAGCAGTAAAAATACTTTTATTTGTTAGCCTACAAAAAAAAGCAGCGCCCTGGTCAGACAACCTTTTCCATGCAAAAGATTGTTATTTGGCTTTCAAATAGCTTCTACTATTCTTACCGAATAAAAATTTTACACCACTTCTATGCTTTTCAACGAAAATAAAGCTATTTCATAAGTATTATCACAATGGACTCATCACACGCATGTTGTTGATCAAATAATTTAACAAGCAGAAATGAATATAAACTTGATTACACATAGTCAAACCAAAATAACATTATCAGTATTAAGATAACATATTTTAAATATAGTTAGCCATTGGTTTTTCTATGCAGGAATATTTTTTTTGTTATTTATTTTCATTTTAATTATTAACATCAAAAAAAGAAGTCAATCAAAATCTAATTTTCAATCACAGAAAAACTTCACTCAAATTTCATAGGTCATCAGTTTAATATTATTTATGATGACTTGTGAGATGTGTCGCGAGGTCGAAAAAATTGGAAAGAGGTCAATAACGTAGGAAGTCGTTAAAAAAAAAATTTTCTAAAAATGACTGAACTTTGGGGAAGAACAGTTTTTTTTTGAAAAGTGGTAAACAAAACAAACAAAAAGAACTTAAATTTTGCTATAGAAAAACGAAAATTTTTCAAGAAGTGAGGGGGGTATCCTCCTATCCTTTCCACTGTAGCGACACTCTGTAACTTGCCGAACTTTAGTTTTATATTAGTGCAAATATATATGAACTTGAAGTTTAACTAAAAGCTTGAACGTACAATATCGATGATTTTATTACAACGTTACATAGTTTCCTATATGATACAGTTATTTTAACTACGGCAGTATTCAAGTGATTGTTTTCTCATTATTAGTAGAACTAATGAAAACAGATCGAGTACAATCACACAATATTTACGTTATCATTTCACATAACCAAATGCAAAAAAACAAAGTGTTGTTTTTTTAAGATAATACTATTTGATTGCTTATTAAACTAACTTTCATCTTCAATTACTATTAAAGTTTTCTTCAGCTTTTAACAAATAGTACTGTTATCAACTAAATTCATTGGGTTGATTTGATTTATTTATTTTTATATAAATAATGGTTAGAAACTTTATTTTAACACTTAAGTAATGGTATAAATCGTATTTGTTTATATATGTTTTAATTGTTATATGCAGGACTAATAATAGGAACAATCTTTTTTTAATTGATAAAATTATTAGAAATCAAAACTAAGACATACTTTTACCTTGAATATTTGTTGCCATTGATGAATTTAGTTCGTTGCTTACTAGTGGATGCGGTGAAGAATCAATCGACTTTTCATTATGTTGTTCGATATTATTAAATGAATTATTTGTTCCAAAAATGTCGAAATTAAGTGATTGAGAGCAGCGGCGGATCTAGGATTTTTTTGATAAGGGGCGATTTCATAGATATGGGGCGATTTTGACCAAAAATCGAGTTTTGAAGTTCATTAGTAGTAGTATGCACTCTATTTTTAAGTCTTTTCTGCTGGGAAAAAACGAAAATTTTTTTTTCGAATGGGGGCGATCGCCCCAAGCGCCCCCCCTAAATCCGCCACTGATTGCGAGAGCAACTGATCAGTAATTTTTTCCCAATCTTCATAATTTTCTGTAGAAATAAAGGCAGAAAAATCTTTAAATAAACATGTAGATAATCTTCATTGATACTGACCATTGAATTGTGTTACCAAATTTGAGTCAAGGAAATCTGCTACATGTTCAATACGTATCGAATGCGTTACCAGATTATCATCTATCAAGAACAGATACTATTGGCTTATACTTAAAGATTTTTCAATAACCATATTGCAAAATTCAATTGTGGTTTCAAATAAATTATAGATTATCATTTTAAATGAATAAATAGAAAAGAATCTTTGTCTCGAACCATATAATCTCTGAGGAATTTTAGTAGATTTACTGTTATCTGAATAGAAAACGCTGTCCTTTTCTTCATTACTCATGTATAAAATAGATATTTCATACATAGAATAATAACTTAAAATTGCGTATTTATTTATATTTACCTGTTTTTTGTTTTCTATTGAGGAAAAGAAGCATGCTGTCGACACATGTTACATTATTCAAAGGTAGTTTTGCAACTGTAAAAAAACTACGTTTTATGCAGAAACGACCCTTTTATCTTGTTCTTTTCTTTTTTTTCGTTGTTTTACTGTGTGGTAAGAATATTGACGACACAGATCAAAACATAATGTAAAGAACAGTCAACACTGAAAGTGCTTCACTTTATGACTTTAAAGAATTAAAAATAAAAACTACCCTATTCTGACAAGTCTTTTTTTTCCAGGTAGCTTTGATTACTTTTATCGCATAGAGCTGCTTAACTTAGATGCCTTTCTTCGAAAACATGAGTATTTCATAAAAAAAAATCAACAGTGTTGAGTCATAGGATGTCTATTGTTACTAATAAGATCGATTAGTTATATTTATTCTAAAATAACACTCTTAACATTACGCTACCACATTTTGAATATACTTTATCCTGAACTTGTCCAGATCGCTGTAAGATTTGACTAATAAATAGTGGGCATACAGATTTCACTTATTGTTCAAAAATAACCAGACGAACATCGATTCAATCGGGAGATTTCAAAAAAAAATCTTGATCACATTGGTAAATAACATTGAATATTTTTTTTGAATTTATAAAAAAGTTTACGAGCGCAGTCCCATTATTTCACACCCATATCCTCTTGTAAGAAATGAAATAAATTTAGAAACAACTGATAAAATTATTAAAAAACAAGATTAAAACATACTTTGAATTCGAATATTTGACGATGTTACAGGATATTGTTGTGTGATAACTGATGGATCAAATAATAAAGATGAATTAGCAGAGTTTTCAGTAAGTTTTTCGGTGTTGTTCGACACATTATTTTTTGCGCTGTTGTCGACCTCAGGTGTTTCAGAAGATAGTGGATCAAGTATTTTGTTCCTATCAACTTCGTTTACTGCAGAAATAAACAGAAAAAAAAATCTATGCATAGTATGAAAACAATCATCAATGATAGTAACCATTCAATGCTATGACTAAATTCTACTTTGCACAGTCATCTATATTTTCCAACAAAGGGGTTAGTAATATGGAATAATTTTCTATGAATAACCGAAAATAAAACATGAATAAAAATTATCGATCAAATTTAATTTTCTTTGTTAAAATTTTTTGTAAAGTCTTCTATGTGAATCATCAAAACTTGTTTTATCAAAAAACATCCATGATTTTCTTTTGTTGTTTCTTGCGTCATACTTTAAAAATTCGTCAGTAGCCCTATTGAACTATTTAGTCTAGGTCTCCATTAAATTCTTGATTTTCATCTCACATAAATAAATACAAAAGAAGTTTAGTCTCGGAAGATTTATACTCTGTATTGATTAAAATTAATTCATGGAACATTCTTTCAGTTTCATGAATTTAAGTAGACTTACCATCCTCTGAATTAAAATGAACTTCTTTATTTCTAGTGCTCATCCTTCAAAGACACATATCATGTAGAAAATTTTAGTTTCAAAGGTTTGTCATTATATTTACTTATGTGTGGCTGTTTTTTTAAGCGAAAAGAATGAAACTTTTGTCGCTGCATATAAATG